GCTTCAGAGCCGTTGCTCGTTGCCAACCAAACACTACGCAATAATAAGAAATAAATTGTTAAATCTAGAGATTGATGGTGGAGGAGTAATGAGGTTTTGAAAAGTAAGTAGTGCAATAAAAATCAAAATCTTAGTGTAACTTATTACAGATGCACTTAAAAACACCTGAACCAGAAAACCAAGCGCCTCTCGATCTCAGAAATGCAGAAAAGACTGTCAAGAGAGACACACAGCTGGAGGATGGAGTGGACTGGCGACATCTGACGATAGCAGCAAAGTTGCCGCTATTAAAAGCTGATATCCTAGATTTCAAGGCTGCCTTCTCCTTGAGGGATGAATACATGGAAGAAAATTGCTTTGATTAATGATTTTGATTATCAGTAAGAATGGTCCATCTACGTGCACCTTATGGAGAGCCAATTCTTTAGAGTAGGGAAGCACTGCTTAAATTATGTGATTGCACACAATCTTACCAGCGCTTATAGAGGCGATTCGCCTCTAAAGAGATTTACAGGAAACTGTGATGTGGAAAATGTGGCCGCTTTACTCTTTCATTCTTCACTCTTCACTGGTTTATGCTAGTATTTTTTTGGAGATAAACATCATAGGCGCTTTCCTTATCAAAGTATTAATTGATTTTTTTTGCAATTCTTTAAACAAATAATGGAGCCGTATATGGATCTTTTTTACAGTTGCCTTTTCTTGTCCATTTTAGTATACTGGTCAACTCCGATGTCATTGTACTTGTCATTGTATCTTATCTACAAATTAAACCTATATTTCCTAGTGAGAACGTTCAACGCGAGCGTGCATTTCTTCGCACTACTACTTTTGGTTGATAAATAGATAACTGATTTTGACTAAGCAGAAGTTTTGCTGTGTTTTTGTATTATAAAAGCTTTGCTCATTCTTGTCATAGTATGTAAGACGTGCAATTGCGTATTGTGTCTTATTTGAGTAAAAATGTTTCATAGTACTCAACAACACGCTGTCAATAGCCTTCTTAACACTGCATGCTCTCATATAGTTGATTCCTCAAATAGAGCAGCGATACAATTGCGCTCAGGACTCTCGCGCGGCCCATCGCTTTCGATGATTTCCATCCTATGACTGTGCTTTAAAAACCTCGGCGCCACGATGAGATGCCTGCAGTTATGACCATGAAATACTTCAGATATTACCTTTGCATTTCATCTTTTACCTTTTCTTCCTAGTAAAATTTTGTTTATTAAAAGTCATATTACTGCATATCACATGCGCAGCGAAGTGTAA